CTTCTGTTCGCCTTTTTCCTCCTCCTCCTCCTCCTCCTCCTCCTCCTCCTCCTCCTCCTCCTCCCCCTCCTTCTCCTCCTCCTTCTCATCCTCATCCGCAAGTTCATCATCCTTTTCCCTCCTCCATCATCCATCCTCCTCGCCCTTCCTCGAACGATAACGCCTGTCCCCCATTTTGCTCCGACACGTCCATGACCGTCTCAACTGGGCGTCGGTTTTGGATGAGCTGGTGAGGATACGCAAAGCGTCAAGAATCTTCTCAGCCTTCCTCGAAGACAGAGAAAGCATCTCCGAAGACCAGAGGGCTCTGAGAAGCCCCGCCGCCTCCTGAGAGGGACTTTCGCTTCTCGCTTCCCCCCCTCGCTCACTGCCGACACAGTGCGGGCGCGGCCGCAAGAGACCCTCGCGAGAGACCCAACCCTCAGGACCCGCGCGCGAAGTGCACTGGAGGGGAAACCTGGAGCACCCTGAACGCAGCAGCTCCTTCAACGGCTGCGGGACGTCACCGCGCAGCGCGAGGTGCAAAGAAACCCAGAATACCCTGACGAAAAACATCTGGTTGCTTGAGGCGCACCCCCACTGTACACAAGGCCCCCACGATTTGCAACCGCCGATATGCAAGGCTCCTACGATTGATTTGCCACCGAAGGCTAACCCAGGCCCCCGACGTTGCGACTTTTCTTATAACGTCGACCCCTAGAGGTCTGGGCCCCTTCCCTGAGACACGTGTCTCGTCGGTTTGTTGACGGCTCCAAGGCCTGGCGAGGGCCCCCAGAGGCTCAAAACAGGGAAAAACTTCCCGTCGTAATTTCTTTACAGCGCGAGGGGTCTAAGAACCGTTGCCACTGCGAGGTGTGCTTCCCCCGCGCCTGCTGCCTCCTGCCGGGATCCACCGAGAAGAGCGGGTGACCCTGAAGGGGGGCATGAGCTCGATCCGCTGGTGCACCGAACCGCCGCAAACAGATGACCCCCGCATGCCCCACCTGTCGGCAACTGTCGGGAGCGGCCGGCGGCTGGGGGGCATCTGCTTTGGGCGGCTCGGTGCACAGAGGCCTCCAAGATGGGGTCGGAGTAGATGGGGTCGGAGGATCGCACCGCATCGGCGATACATCGGCGATGCATCGGCGATGCATCGGCGATGCATCGGCGATGCACCAGCGATGCTTCGTCGACGTCGGCGGTGCATCGGCGACGCCAGCGCGGAGAAAGTCGAGCTCCGCATCGAGCCGCATCGCCGGTGTGTCGGCGATGCGACGCGATCCTCCAACCCTATCTGCTCGGACCCCATCTGTAGGGGGCGCGCAAAACATGGATTAGCGATCCATGGATTTGGCGCGCGGTCGCCAGATCCATGGATCGGAGGAGGTGCCCTCCCCAAAATGCGGCCGGCGCCGCCTCACTCGGCGGCGGGCATCCTCGATTTCCCATGGAAATGGGACCCGTCGCTAATCCACGCTCCCTTGATCCATGTTTGCGATCGCCTGAATCTGGGAGGCCTAGAGTACAAAAACCGATCGAACGCACACATTCGGGGATGGACAGAACCCCCTTTAGCCAAACGTGGTTTAGTGAAAGCGACCTCGGACCCAAACCTGGCGGACGCAAGCCTGGAACATGACGGCCGCGGCGCCCCCTCGAGAACCGAAAACGGACAATTCCCTAATCGACGTGTCAGGGTGGGGGTTCTGTCAACCTCCGACACACACGCACACACACACACACACACACACACACCAGGGCACACCCTCCCTTTGCGGGGATCCCGACCCTGGGCGCCAAAGGGCAGCCTGTCGCGGCAGGAGCAGCGCCTGGGCATGCGCCGCGGCCCCCTGCCGGAGGCGACGTGCTGCCAAGCATCACGGGCCCCACACCCGCCATCATGTCTTCCTACAGGCGGATTCTGCAAGAAAAATGAAAAATAGTCCAAGCAAGAATCAAAAATAGTAAAAAATAGTTCAGACAAAAATCGTCCCCTTACGATTTACGTACTATTTTTGAACATTCCCCCTGTAGAGGGACATGCCCGACTGAACGCTATGAAATTGCTTCTGCCCAAAAAATGTTTACAGAGGTGACTTACCCCAATATAATGTGCTCGTCGAATACATGGCAAAATGAAACGTCTTTCTGCTGCAGGTTGGATGAGGAGATCAATCAGTTTTCTGGGGTAAACCGACTCTGCAGTCGATGCCCTACGCGAGCTACGGGAACGGCGCACGCGCACCGCGCCATGCCTGGGCAAGACGAAGCCAGAACGATGATAAGATCGGGTGAGGATGAATCGAGACTCTCTAGGAGCCCGCGGCTCTGGAAAACATGTCTCGGGCGCCCGCGGCCTCCTCAGTGCCTCCCGCAACGCTCCGAGAGCGTCCCGGAGCGCGCTGGGACGGACTTGTCCGTGCGAGAACGGCGCACGTGCGCCGCACCACGTCTGGACGCCCTTCAGGCCACGCTCCAGCGCGGTACGACAGGTTCGTGTCGTGTCGACTTCGGCGTTGTCTCCTGACACGGCGCGGATCGTCCAGCGTCGAGCCATCGGCCGTTTCCGAGACGTCAGACAGTTCAACATCGACCGATTCTGGGTCGCCGGCAGCGTCCGACGTTGAACGCCGGCGACGGGGTTGCCACCGGTCGACACGATGCGAACCTGCCGTACCATGTCTGCCCTGCCTTCAGGCCACGCTTCAGAGCAATACGATGCATGGTTTCGGTGGCAACTCATGGGAGCCTCCCATACCATCTTGTCGGCTCTTGCGAATCGTCGCTAGTCGACGCTAACCGACGTTAAGTCGACGTTAAATCGACGCTATTCGACGCTGATCGAAGCTAAATCGGCGCTATCTCATCGACTCCCAGACGCGAATCGACGCTGAAGACAAAATTGCGACTGTACACAAAGCTCCCATGACTTGCTACCGGAAAACTATGCACCGTCCCATTCCCGGGTCGGGCGTGTCCCCCTACATGTGGGTTTTGGACAAAAAAATTGAAATATACACGAAAAGATCCAAAAATATGCATACATTGTCCAAACTTCGTCCCCTGACAGTTTCGAAAACCATTTTGGACACCTCCTCCTGCAGAGGGACAGGCCCGACGTAAGCCGAGGATCGACGACGCCTCGGGAGGCGAGAGCGGCACGGTGCGCACCGCTCGCCCGCGGACCCGAGGCCCCCCCCCCCCCCTTCCGCAGGGGGCCGGCCCCGCCTGGGCTTCGGACGTCGCCCGACCGAGCTCTCTCCGGGATCGCGCCCCAGAGGCGAGCGGACGTGCCGGCGAAGCCGGACGGCCACCGACCGCGCCGCACGGTGGCTTCCAACGGCCTTCCTCGGGAAGGCCTCCGGGAGATTTGCGGGAGGGCTCCTCCGAAAAACCGCCCGAGAACCTTCCTCGGGAAGGCCTGTGGAGGGCTTCCTCCAGAAAAGCTGTCAAAATTCGCACCTCGGGAAGGCAGGCGTTTCCGGAAGGTTTCTGCTGTAGGCTTCCTTCAAAGAATCGGGTCGGGCGAAAGGGGGGGATAGCAAAGGGGGGTTGAGAATCAGCTCACGTAGCTGATTTTCCTGGCGCCTCCTGGCGCCGGAGGCGACGATGTATCGAGGAATGGGCCCCTCGGTGAGGCCGAAACCAGCTACATGCAGCAAATGTCGTAACCCCCCCTTTCCCAATCCCCCCCTTTCGTCCGGCCTGAAAGAAACCTTGCACGCTCGGGTGTCGCCGGCACCGTCGAAGAGCCAGGCGGCTGCCGATCGGCGGGCCTCCGGCAGGGCAGGCTCTGTCGGGGCTTGGCTCTCGGGGGAGGGGGGATCCTCCTCCTCCTCCTCCTCCTCCTCCGCCCCTCCTCCTCCGCCCCCTCCTCCTCCTCCTCCTCCTCCTCCTCCGCCTCCTCCTCCGCCTCCTCCTCCTCCTCCTCCGCCACCTCCTCCTCCTCCGGGGGGGGGGCGGGTGCCTCCGCGGGCGTTCGACCAGGGGGGGCGGCAGGGCTTCCTGCGCGGGCGGGCGCGGCCCCCTGTTCCCCCTGCCGCGGGACACGCCAGCGCCGAGGTCCGAGCGCTGCTCAGGGCTCCACCACAGAGGTGTTTCTCGTGTCCGATTTGCTGTCGAACGTCCCCTGAGATCCCGGCGTTGCAATTTTTGTCACAGCGGGCGCTGTCGCTCGAATTCGGGCACGGGGGCCCTCACAGATCGATCTGGCTCGAAAACTGGCGCAGAAAGATGGGGTCCGGGGCTCAGGTCCTGAGTTTTCCCGATGTTGCATTTTTTTGCAACGGCGGATCTCAGCGTCCCTCGTTTCGACTTCGTTCCGCCTTCGCTGCGAAACGAAGCCAGAACGAAAACGGCCCACGAATTGCGATCGCGCTTGGTTAATTGTTTGGACTACTCCAAACAATTAACCAAGCGCGCGCAATCGCTGCAATTAATTACTCCACCAAACAATTAGTTCCACCACCACGGATTACTCCAAACAATTACTCCAATTAATTGTTGCGATCGCGTTTGCGATCTCGATTGATATTACGTGTATCTGCATTGCTCCGCGACCGAGGGCTGAATATTCGCCACGGTGGTGTGGGCACTAAGTTGAGTGTCCCTGGGCCGCTTCGAGTTCCTGGCGTTGGATGCTGCAAACATTTTTTGCGGGGCCCAGAGCCCAGAGTTCTGGAACTCACACGCGTTCTTGATGCCGCTCGCATGTTTTCCCCCGAAGCCAAAAGCCGTTGAGGCACATTGTGCTTTTCAAGTTTGCGGCCCCAGGGAGGGCGGAGCCAGACCTGAGCACACTAGGAGCAACTTCGTCGCAACACCGTGCGTTCTCTGTTCGAGCACGTGATATTTTGCAGTCTGAGAGCCCAGCCGAGGGAACGAGGGGTCCCCGCCGAAAAGCCCTGGAAAGTTGGCCCAGCAGACGCAGACGACTCGAAAACCAGCCTACGGCGACACCTGCGGCGTCAAAGAGCCCACGAATGACTGCGGAACAGCTATCAAGGCGACAAGGCAGCCGCGTCCTCTGGCACCTGGTCGGGGGCGATCATCTCGAAGAGCAGATGCTGGTCGGAAGCGCCTTCGGTGCCCTCACTCAGTGTGCAGCACAAGTTGCTCCCGCTCGTGCACGCGCGCCTCTCGCATGTCACCGCTACAACCCGTTCTCTTCTGCGTTCTTTGCCGCTGTATCCACTTCCTGCTCCTCCTTCCCCTCCCTCCTACTCCTCCTCCTCCTCCTCCTCCTCCTCCTCCTCCTCCTCATCCTCATCCTCATCCTCATCCTCATCCTCATCATCATTGTCATCATCATCAACAACAACATCATCAGCATCATCAACAACAACATCATCAGCATCATCATCAACATCATACTCCTCCTCCTCCTCCTCCTCTTCCTCATCCTCCTCCTCCTCCTCCTCCTCCTGCCTCCCTCCCTCCCTCCCTCCCCGCCCTCCTGCCCTCCCTCCCTCCTCCTCATCCTCCTCCTCCCCTCCTTCTCCTCATCTTCCTCCTCCTCCTCCTCTATTCCTTTGCCTTGCAACCAATTGCGAGGCCGGTCGCCAGAACGGGCCGTTGGTTTCGCCTGAGAATTTCTCACCACTCATGACCCTGAAGATTAAACAGTAGCAACAGCTTCACAGATGGAGGGCGGGTCGTTTTCAAAATGTGGTTATCGCCTTAGCGCCGCGCACATCCGTTTAAAAAATGCAAGAGCTTCACACATTAAGGGCGGGTCGTTTTAAAGTGTGGCTCTAACCTTTGCGCCGCGCACATTCGTTTTGAAGAACTGCAAGAGGTTCACCGACTGAAGGCGGCTCCTTTTCAAAATGTGGCTCTCGCCTTAGCGCCGCGCACATTCACATAACAAATACAAGAGTTTCACGGATTGAGGGCGGCTCCTTTGCAAAATGTGGCTCTCGTCTTGGCGCCGCGTACATTATTTTTGGTTGCAAGAGTTTCACTGGTTCCCATGGTCAACCTACCAGAAATTGTGTTTTGGAAAGAATCAGGATTATGAGGGCTCACCAGTTGCGTTGACTCGTAGAGCTGAAGTCCCAGGAACGGCGTTCTGGCACGATTCAGGATCGTCAAGACGCAACAGTCAGGTTGATCCGTGGCGCTGGAGTCCCGAGAATAATACTCTGGCATGCTTCAGGGTCTTCAAACGGTTGTTTTCCAACGAGGCAGGTTCCTCAGTGGAAATGGACCGTTGTAGGGACCTATGAAGAGGGAGCTTGGAAGGAGGGTTAATGCCATCATCGTTGATGACTTTTGGTTTTACACTTATCCTCCTCCTCTTCCTGCTCCTCCTCCTCCTCCTCCTCCTCCTCCTCCTCCGCCTCCCGTCCCCCATCATCCTCCTTACCACCACCATCATCGTCATCGCCATCATCATCTGCAGCAGCGGCGGCAGCAGCAGCAGCGACACTACCATCATCGCCAGCATCATCGGCATCATTGTCAGTATCATCGTTACCGTCATCGCCAGCAGCATCGCCATCATCAGAAGCATATTTCAGAATCATACACATGATCATCAAGATCATCGTCACAATCATCATCAGCAGCAGCGTCATCAACAGCATCGCCATCATCATCATCAGCAGCAGCATCATCACCATCATTATCAGCAGCAGCATCATCGTCATCGTCATCCTCATCATCAGCATCACCACCATCATCATCATCATCAGCATCATCATCAGCAGCATCATCATCATCATCATCATCATGGTCGTCATCATCAGAAGCATAATCATCATCATCACCATCATCACCATCATCGGCATCATCAGCACCATCATCAGCAGCAGCATCATCGTCGTCGTCGTTGTCATCATCACCATCATCATCACCATCATCACCATCATTACCAGCGCCATCGTCGTCATCATCAGAATAAGCATCATCGTCATCAACAACATCATCTTCGTCAGCAGCATCGGCATCAGCGGCACCGTCATCGTAATCGTCAGCAGCATCATCATCATCGCCATCACCATCAGTATCATCAGCATCATCAGCGTGGCCGTCATCATCATCGTCATGATCATCATCATCATCATCATCATCATCATCATCATCATCATCATCAGTATCACCATCATCACCATCATCATTGCCAGCATCGTAGTCGTCGTCGTCATCATCAGGATCATCATCAGCAGCAGCAGCATAATCGTCATCGTCATCAGCATCATCAGCGTCGTCGTCGTTGTCGTCGCCGTTATCGTCAGCATCACCACCATCACCACCACAACCACCACAATCACCATCATCACCATCATACTCATCCTCGTCATCATCCTCATCATCATCGTCGTCAGTGTCGTCGGCATCAGCAGCAGCACCAAATCAATCTGCATCAACATCGTCCTCCACAGCAGCAACCCAATCAGCATCGCCATCATCGTCTTCATCGTCATCTGTGTCACAACCACCGCCATTGCCGCGTTCGTCAGCCGACGCTCCCCAGCACGTCGGATCGGTTCGCGCGAGATGGTGCCGCGGAGTGTCGGGTCTCACAGGGCAGTCCTGGGGAGACCAAAAGGTACCGATACTGCTACTCCCCTGGCCTCTCCTGGGGTCGTTCTGACCAAAATTTCGAAGCGAATCCAGCGGTGGCGACGAGGGCCTCCCAGGAGGCCCAAAAAGAGGAAAACGGGCGAAGGGTAGCGGTATGGGTACCTTTTCCTCCTCCGAAGTCCGCCCGAGCATCTCCGCAAAGAAGGAGCGCACGTTGCAGCGGAGGCTTCAAGACAACGAAGGCAGTCTCCCCAGCAGCGGCAGGCGGGAACCACAGGGCCGCTGCCCGCGCCCCACCTGTCCTCATTCCCCCCCGCCTCCCCCTTCCCATCCTGCTCCTCCTCTCTCCTCCTTCTCTTCCTCCTCCTCCTCCTCCTCCTCCTCCTCCTCTCTCCTCCTCCTCTCCTCCTCCCCCCCCCCCCCATTCGGGGCTCGATGGGTCTGGAGGTCAACATGCCAAAGATGATAGGTTGAGGAGATGTGGTTGGGCTATTGTCCGTTTGGGACCTCCTGCCGTTGATGGACCTCGGCTAGATGCTCTTTGTTGTGGTTCCCTCCCGACCCCTGAGCAATCGAGTCCTAGGGCCGAGCTCTTCGCCTTCCTCGCAGTCCTCAATCACACCCGTGGCGATATTATACGGTATACATATTATCTCCCACTGTGCCGTGCTATGGCTAAACCACGTTCCTCGATTGCTAAGACCTCACCCATGATGGACTTGTGGGTTCAAGTGTGGTATGCTCTAGATAAGCGTGGACCTGGTAAATGTTGTAGTAATATGAGCTAAGTCACACGCAACCCCAGATATGCAGTTGAAGTTCGGTATTCAGTCTGATGAGTAGTTTCTGAATTGGTGTGCAGATTTCTTCGCTGGATGGGCTGCAGATTCCAGTGCGGTTCCTGATGACGTCGTTCTGAGAGTTCGACAACAAGATGAATTGATCCACTCCATTCTAGGTAGGTTGCTGGCAGTGAATTTGGAAGTGGCTGAGTCTTGCAAGCGCTTGACGGCAGCCCGCGTCGGTCGTGCCCCGCGTAAGCCCCGTGCTTTGTCGGCCTTCGCTACCAGGAAGGCCCGTCTCCTCGCCGCTGGCCACGCCTGTGTTAAGCGGTCGGCCGACTTTAAGTGTCAGATGTGTGGACGTAGGTTCCCGATGAATGGCCGTCTTAGACGCTTCCTTCGTGGTCGTTGTCCTGGGTCCCGCGCTTTGGCGCCTGAAGATCCCTCCTGCCATCCCTTGTATATGCATGCTGATAGTTCGCACACCCTCGAGGTTCTCAGGGGTGTGCTGTATTGTGTTGTTTGTGGGAGTTTCGGCACTGTGAACGCACGGGGCCGTTGTAAAGTCTGTCCCCCGTCACGCCGCCCCACCAAGGCGGGAGCAGAGGTGCTGAGCCGCCTCTCGCGAGGACTCCCGCCCAAGTGCGGAGTTCCCTGGCCTGCTCCCTGAGATGGGATTGCGCCCAGGCGTGACCTGGTCCCCGCTTGAGTTCAATCCAATCCTCCCCCCCCCATTCCCATGTTGCTCCTCCTCCTCCTCCTCCTCCTCCTCCTCCTCCTCCTCCGCCTACTCCTCCTCCTCCTCCTCCTCCTCCTCCTCCTTCTCCTCCTCCTCCTCCTCCTCGTGCTCCTCCTCCTCCTCCTCCTCCTCCTCCTCCTCCTCCTCGAGCTCTCCTTCTCCTCCTCCTCCTCCTCCTCCTCCTTCCTCCCTCCTCCTCCGCCTCCTCCTCCCCCTCCCTCCTCCTCCTCCTCCTCCTCCTCCTCTTCCTCCTCTCTTATTATTCGGTATAGTATTATTAGTCTTAATCGTACTGTTCTTCTTAATTATTCTTATTATTATTATTCTTATTCTTCGTATTATTCTTCTTATTCTTAGTATTATTCTTCTTCCTCCTCCTCCTCCTCCTCCTCCTCCTCCGCCTCCTCCGCCTCCGCCTCCGCCTCCTCCTCCTCCTTCCTCCTCCTCCTTCCTCCTCGTCCTCCTCCTCCTCCTCCTCCTCCTCCTCCTCCTCCTCCTCCTCCTCCTCCTCCTTCTCCTTCCTCTCCTCCCTCTCCTCCCTCTCCTCCCTCTCCTCCCTCCTCCTCCCTCCTCCTCCCTCCTCCTCCCTCCTCCTCCTCTCCTCCTCCTCCTCCTCCTCCTCCTCCTCCTCCTCCTCCTCCTCCCCTCCTCCTCCCTCCCTCCTCCTCCCTCCTCCTCCTCTCTCCCTCTCCTCCTCTCCTCCCCTCTCCTCCCTCTCCTCCCTCTCCTCCCTCCCTCTCCTCCCTCTCCTCCCTCTCCTCCCTCTCCTCCCTCTCCTCCCCTCTCCTTCTCTCCTCCCTCTCCTCCCTCTCCTCCTCCTCTCCTCCTCCTCCTCCTCCTCCTCCCCTCTCCTCCTCATCATCATCATCATCATCATCATCATCATCATCATCCATCATCATCCTCATCCTCATCCTCATCCTCATCCTCATCCTCATCCTCATCCTCCTCATCCTCATCTCATCTCATCCTCATCCTCATCTCCTCATCCTCATCCTCCTCCTCCTCCTCCTCCTCCTCCTCCTCCTCCTCCTCCTCCTCCTCCTCCTCCTCCTCCTCCTCCTCCTCCATCCTCCCGCATCGCGCGCCTAGAATCGTGAACTTGTCGCGGGTCTTCTTCGGAATGAAGCTCGCAAAGGCCTGGAACAGCTTGGAAAAGACGGGCGGGAAATTGACGAATATGGTAGTCCTGAAACCGGCATACGGGGAGGGGAGGACGGGAAGGAGGGTGGGAGAAGGAGGATGACATTGATGAGTTCGGACGACGAGATATAGAAGTGGCAAAAATTGACGAAGGTGAGCGAGAGTGGTGGGGAAAAAAGACAGACTGGTGAATGTGGTGGTCCTAGAGCTGGTCAACGGTCAAACTGCCGCAACATGTTCCCCACCCGAAAGGCAGTTTGAACCAACCATGTTTGCGCCCCCACGGAAGCAACACTGGCCATGCCATGCTAGATATATGTGACACATTCATACGACTCAGCCCTCGCTCAGACCAGCCACATAAAGTGCTGCACAAGCTAAAAGTATCCGTGCAAACTCGCCCGGATTCGCTAAGGGGATTGAAAACGAAGGTATGCGTTGAAAGGGAGACGAGGGAGGAGGGAAGGGCAAAGGGGAGCAGAGAGGCAATTTCATCCTGACCGAATCGAAGCACACGGGCGCAGGCGGGCAAGCGGCGACAAGAATAAAGGAGCCCTAGAACACACAAATATATACACACAAACAGCAGGATTCCCCATATTTGCCCATAGTTTCTGGATTTGTGTCTTCCCCCACTTCCAATAGTTTCCCTTTTTTGAAAGGGGAATCGACGATTAATTGTGTCTGTGTATTGTTTCCCCTGGAAGGCCGCGGGGCGGCTGGGGAATCCTCAGATCGTGTAGACCTTCAGGACGTGCCTAAGAACAGGCCCGCGTCCACGACACAGCCAGTGCTGACGAAGAGGCCGGGGACCACGCACGCCACGCGAACGAACACGCGCGCGGGCAGAGTGGCACAACCCGTATCGGCATGCAGAAGAGCAAAAACCGGCTACACGTAAGAGTGACCTTGGGCAAAAGTGACCTTTGGTGCGCAGCTCAACGGGGGACGCGGGGGGGGGGGGGCCAAACATGGGCGCGCAAACCAGTGCGACTGAGGCACCCCATTGGGCCCACACCAAAGGTCACTCCGGCGAAAGGTCACTCTTACGTCTAGTCGAAATTGGCATGGCGACAGACCCAACCATACGCAGTTGTGAATACCGCAATTGTGAATACCATCTTCGCCAACGCTCCCTATGTGGCCACGGCTTCCCGCCGGAGCCCGACATGCTCAGGGACACGTTCGCGGCCGTATTCGCGGGCGCCGACGACGACGAGGACGGCGCCCCCCTAACCAAGGAGCAGAAGCAGGAGAGGGCTCGGAGAGCTATGAAGGAAGCTGCCACTGGCGCCGTCGGTGGAGCTCCTATGGGGCCACGATCCTCGTGATGAGTGTGCCGAAATGGCCCGGGGCCGCTATGCGAAACCTGCCGCTGGGGCCTCCGGTGGAGCCCCCTATGGGGTCACGATCCTCGTGATGGGGCGTGCCGAAATGGCCCGAGGCCGCCATGCGAACTCTGCCACTGGCGCTTTCGGTGGAGCTTCCTATGGAGCCACGATCCTCGTGAGGGGTGTGCCGAAATGGCCCGAGGCCGCCATGCGAACCCTGCCATTGGCGCCTTCGGTGGAGCGCAGCCACGATCCTCGTGATGGGGCGTGCCGAAATGGCCCGAGGCCGCTATGCGAACCCTGCCACTGGAGCCTTCGGTGGAGCTCCTATGGGCCCACGATCCTCGTGGTGGGTGTGCCGAAATGGCCCGGGGCCGCTATGCGAAACCTGCTGCTGGGGCCGCCGGTGGAGCCCCCTATGGAGTCACGATCCTCGTGATGGGGTGCGCCGAAATGGCCCGAGGCCGCCATGCGAACTCTGCCACTGGCGCTTTCGGTGGAGCCCCATATGGGGCCACGATCCTCGTGAGAGGTGTGCCGAAATGGCCCGAGGCCGCCATGCGAACCCTGCCATTGGCGCCTTCGGTGGGGCTCGGCCACGATCCTCGTGATGGGGCGTGCCGAAATGGGCCGAGGCCGCCATGCGAAACCTGCCACTGGGGCCTTGGGTGGAGCTCCCCATGGGGCCACGATCCTCGTGAAAGGTGTGCCGAATAGCCCGAGGCCGCCATGCGAGTTCCGCCACTGGGACCTTAGGTGGAGCTCCCTATGAGGCCAATGAGAGGTGTGCCGAAATGGCCCGACGCCGCCATGCGAGTTCCGCCACTGGGACCTTAGGTGTGGAGCTCCCTATGAGGCCACGATCCTCGTGATGGGTGTGCCGAAATGGCCCGAGGCCGCCATGCGAGCTCCGCCACTGGGACCTTAGGTGGAGCTCCCTATGGGGCCACGATCCTCGCGATGGGGTGTGCCGAAGTGGCCTGAGGCCGCCATGCGGGTTCCGCCACTGGGACCTTAGGTGGAGCCCCCTATGGGCCACGAAACGTGTGAGGGGTGTGCCGAAATAGCCCGAGGCCGCCATGCGAGCTCCGCCACTGGGACATTAGGTGGAGCTCCCTATGGAGCCACGATCCTCGTGAGGGGTGTGCCGAAATTGCCCGAGGCCGCCATGCGAGTTCCGCCACTGGGACCTTTTTCTTGTAGCTGTGACCAGGCTCGCGCAGCACGAGCTCAGGTTCTAGCAGCCGCACAGCGGCGGCCGCGGCTGGCAGCAGGCGCAAGCCTAGGGAAGCCGAGCGGCGAAGGGACGAGCAAGCAAAAAGGGCCGACTCGCCGCCGTCAGCAAATCCCCCAAACATCACCGAGCCTGCGCCTTCGGCTGCACCTCCTTAGGCGGCAGCCCGAGCTTGATCCTTTCGGCCTTCTCGAGGCGATGCTGCAAACCACGAGCGCTCTCTGGTAGCTTGATTTCTGCGGACAAGCCTCAGCGCTTGCCTCCGATAACTCTCGCATAGCAACGACAGCGCGTGCAAATGCGATCTCCGGAGATGGTTGTGAGAACATGCTCGCCATTCGCCACTCCTGGTACCCTGTGCCATCACCAGCGGACGACGACGCAGCGAGGGGGCCGGAGGGGCACCGACCGAGGCCGATCGCGCGAGCTCGAGCGGCGAGACGAAACAACACAACCTTGCGAGGCAACCAGACTGCTGGCCGCTCCGCGAACACTGGACGAATCGGCGGGCGCACTCTTCGCCGCCGTGGGCCCACCCCCCCCAGGGCTTCTGCAGCGGGGCTTGGAGGAGACCTGAGGAGCTCTGGGGGGAGAAGCGATGCAGGCCCATCCTCAAAACTCGCGCCACCAGCAGAACCAAGGCCACACGGGGCTTCTGCAGCGGGGCGCGCCAGAGCGCGCGTGCAAGGTCCGACTGGGGCTTCTGCAGCAGAGCCTACAGGGGCCCCACTAGCACTGGCAGCACCTTTTTTCAGCCGATGCCGAGCGCACAGACCCGCTCGAGCTCGCTCCAGAAGCTGCCGACAACAGGTAGTCGATCTTCTGCTGGGCTGTCTTGAGAACCTTGGCCCTCGGAAACTCGGTGCTGCCGTCGCCCGTAGCCTCAGCAACTGTCGCCTCCTGCTCGGCCTGCGCCAACGCGGCGAAGGCCGCCGCCGCCGTGGCCGCCGTCGCCAAGGCTGCTCGGGCAGGTCGCTTCTTCGAAGCACTGCCAGAGTGCGACGGGGCATACGGCTTGGGCACGCAAGGCTTGGCCCAGAAGTGCGCTTTGATGTTGCTGCTGTACGCGGTCTTGAGGCAGCGCAGACAGTCAATGCCACCATTCGGGACCTCGATGACCTCGTGGGCCGTGAGAAACAACTGAATGTTGCTGGCCTGCTTCGTGACCTTCTCGTCCGAGATGTCAGCTCTGCCATCGGCAGCCATGCCGCCAGCAACCGAAACCCAGAAGAACGCGGCGTCGAGCATGGTCTGCACCGCCTGGATGATCTGCCGAAAGGCGCCGGGAGCGCCGACTTGAGCAGCAATAAACATCCTCCTCCTCCTCCTCCTCCTCCTCCTCCTCCTCCTCCTCCTTTCCTCCTCCTCCTCCTCCTCCTCCTCCTCCTCCTCCTCCGCCTCCTCCTCCTCCTCCTCCTCCTCCCCCTCCCCCTCCTCCTCCTCCCTCCTCCTCCTCCTCCTCCTCCTCCTCCTCCTCCTCCTCCTCCTCCTCCTCCTCTCCTCCTCCTCCTCCTCCCCCCCTCCTCTCCTCCTCCTCCTCTCTCCTCTCTCCTCTCTCCTTTCCTCTTCCTCCTCCTCTTTTATCCTCCCTCCCCCTCCTCCTGCTCCTCCTCATCCTCTTCCCCCTCCTCCTGCTCCTCCTCCTCCTCCTCATCCTCCTCCTCCTCCTCCGCTTCGTCTTCTTCGTCTTATTATGCTGATTCGTTGTCTTCTTCTTCGTCGTATTAGTATTATTTTTCGTATGAGTATTAGTCTTCGCATTCACATTCGTATTCTTCTTAGTAGTCTTATTCTTCTTAGTCGTCGTAGTAGTATTATTATTGTTCGTCTTCTTAGGCTGCTTCGCATTCGCCTTCTTATTATTAGTATTACCAGTATGATTATTATTAGTAGTAGTAATAGCAGTATTAGTAGCATCATCAGTATTATTAGTATTGTTGTTGTTAGTATTAGTATTAGTATTAGTAGTAGTAGTAGTAGTAGTAGTAGTAGTAGTAGTAGTAGTAGTAGTAGTAGTAGTAGTAGTAGTAGTAGTATAAGTAGTATTATGATTAGTAGTATTAGTATTAGTATTACTAATATTAGTAGTTTTATTGGTATTAGTATTAGTAGTATTATTAATAGTATTATGATTAGTGTTATTAGCTTTGGTATGCGTATTACTACTATTAGTATTAGTATTCTTCGCCGTCGTGGCATTAGTGTTCGTATTATGCGTCTGCGTATTCGGTGTCGTCTTCTTCTTCGTCTTCTCAGTATTAGTATTACTAGTAGTATCATTCATATTGTTCGCCGTCTGATTAGTATTATTCGTCGTAGCCGTATTATTAGTCTTACTAGTCTTGTTCTTAGTATAATTAATATTCTTCATATTAGTATAAGTCGTCGTATTCGTATGCGTATTCGGATTATTCCTATAGTCTTAGTATTCTTAGTATTCGAATATTCGTATGTTTAGTCTTAGTATCCGTCGTCTTAGTA